AAAAAAAAAAAAAAAAAAAAGTCGGTGTTTTATAAAATTATGAAGTAGGATTAGCAAATTGTTCGTGCAGTCTTACCAGCTTCGAAATCTGTTTCGAGGCCTCGAAATGAAATTTCCACTTCGACGAGGAGTGAAATGCAATAACCTGATTTTTCCTAACTGGGGAGGTTTCATACACACTAGAAACATTGGCCCCCATTTGTTTTTGTTCTTTTCCTTTCACTCACTGCTATTTTTTTCTTGTGAATTTTGTCACTTTTGCTTGTGCTGTCTAAGGCTTAGTGACAATGGCTTCTTTATAATGGCTTGTGCATAACTTTTTGCACAAATTTTTATTTTTTTTTAAACATTTTGCATGTGAAGAATATGTTCTTCAGGGGACCCTAACAATCACAACCACTAGTGTGTTGGATATGGAAATATATGGAGCTAATAAAACTAATATTGATGAGGGAAAAAGAGGGTCTTAATATGTTGAATTGCAACTTTATTCTTATATTCTTTGCTGGTTTTGTTATTGTTTAATAAATATGTAAATACTAGTATTAATACCCATGTACAACATGGGTGTTGAGTTAATGATATATGTGTAACGTTATTTATGTCTAATACCAAATCTAACTCTAGGGCAAAAATAATATAAAAACAACATTATGAAGCATAGATTTTCGCCATGTCAGCATCTGAAGCGTGAGAATCTGTCACCTAAGCTGAACACGTTTTGAATTAATATATAGGGAGGGATGAGACTGTGGCATCAAATTTGGAGGGCATTTGACAGGAGAAGGAAATAGAAGATCACATAAGATTCTTATATTTGTCTCTGGTAAAACTTAAAATGTTTATCAAGATCACTTGTTTAATGCAACATATTTATATTCTTATATTGTTTAATGCAACATTCTTATATTATTAATTTTTTTCGTTTAATTTGACTTATTGAATAAAGGGAGTTAAAATATTAAAAAATAAATTTAGTGAAGATTTGAGTCAGAATTTAAGGTTGTTAGTGAATATGGGTTAAAATATAATTATTAAAGTTGATATAATGTAAAAGTGATATATTAATAATTGTAAATGATTGATAGTTTCCGAAATCTTGAAGTGTTAAAGTTGCTAAATGTTGAGTGAAGATGACAATATGACACACGAATTAAAAACAAGAAAAGTAAAAAACACAAGATTTACGTGGTTCGGCAATGTGCCTACGTCCACGGCGGCTGAGGGATCTTTTATTATTCTCAATCGTATCAAATACATCAATACACCATGTATTTATACTAAAACCCTACAAGGTATAAATTTACTTAAATTTGCTCGCTCCACTCCGCTCACTTCGCTCGGTCGCTCCGCTTCCCTCGCTACGTTCGCTCCGTTACGCTCGCAGGCATCAGCCTGCCCTCTTCCTTTGTCAATATATGAGCCATACCAACAAATCTCCACCTTGGCGAATATATCACCTCCTTAGGAGAACACAATAGCGAGCATCTCTGCGAGACACACCAAGCAGACCGGGGGTACCATGCCACTCTAGCATGCAGAAACATTCAACAAATCCAAGCAATGCTTGAATTTGTCAGAAGTAACAGTCTTAGTCAACATATCAGCAGCATTCTCTTCAGTATGAACTTTCTCCAACTGAATATCACCAGATGTAATCCATTCCCTAATCTTGTGGAACCTCACATCAATATGCTTCGTCCTAGCATGATATATCTGATTCTTAGCCAAATGAACGGCACTCTGACTGTCACAATGTACTAGAACTCCACCTTGCTGAATACCCAACTCTCTAACCAGTCCAGCAAGCCACACTGCTTCCTTTGCCGCTTCAGCCAAAGCAATATACTCAGCTTCAGTTGTAGATAGAGCAACTATAGGCTGAGTATTCGACCTCCAACAAATAGGCCCTCCACCAAAAGTAAAGACATACCCAGTGGTAGATCTCCTATTATCCAAGTCCCCAGCATAATCAGAATCCACATATCCTACAACCAAAGGATCCAACCGCTGATCTCCAAACACAATACCATGTCCCGCAGTACCTTTCAAATATCTGAAAATCCATTTGACTGCCTCCCAATGTTGTTTACCCGGCCTAGACATATACTTGCAAACTTGACCAACAGCATGAGCTAAATCAGGACGAGTACATACCATGGCATACATCAGACATCCAACAGCACTGGCATAAGGTATCTCCACCATATCCTGAGTCTCCTTGTCCGACTTGGGACACTGATCAACAGAAAGCTTGAAGTGGTTTGCTAATGGAGTGCTCACCGGTTTTGCTTCATTCATCCCAAACCTCTGTAGTACCTTCTCCACATAACCCTTCTGAGATAACCACAGCTTCTTTGATCCTCTATCCCTGTGAATCTCCATCCCAAGAATCTTCTTCGCAGCCCCAAATCCTTCATCTCAAATTCCTGACTCAAAAGCCTTTTCAGATCAATAATATCTCGCATATTCTTGGCAGCAATAAGCATGTCATCAACATAAAGTAGCAGAAAAATCATAGAACCATCACCAAGGCTCTTGGTGTAAACACAGCAATCAAAATCACAACGCTTGTAGCCAATCTTCACCATATACGAATCAAACCATATATTCCACTGCCGCGATGCTTGCTTCAAGCCATACAAGGATTTCTTCAACCTGCAATATAAATGCTTCTTCCCTGGTTGAACGAAGCCCTCTGGTTGCTGCATGTAAATAGGCTCTGCGAGATCACCATGCAAGAAAACAATCTTCACATCCATCTGCTCCAAATGCAAATCCCAACTAGCCACCAATGCAAGTACAGCCCTGATCGAAGTATGTCTAACCACAGGGGAAAATGTCTCATCATAGTCAATCCCCTTTTGCTGTGAGTATCCTTTAGCCACCAATCGAGCCTTGAACCTTTCCCCTCCTTTTTTCTGTTACCGATGACTTCCTTGTGTAAATCCACCTACAACCAATAGCTCTCTTCCCTTCGGGAAGAACATCCAACTCCCATGTCTGATTCTTGTGTACAGAATTCATCTCTTCTTCCATGGCAGCCTTCCATCTATCATTATTCTCACAAGAAACAGCCTCCTGGAAAGTACAAGGATCCACACTAGTGATCGTAAGAGCAAATGCAACCATATCCTCATAACCAAACCTGACCGGAGCTTGTATATTGGTACGCCTCACTCTATCCCGAGCTAACTTGTAGCTCTCTGGCACATCAGTTGGGCCAGAAACATCATGATCAACATCATCAGGTGCAGAACTCGAACTCTCTCCTTTATCAAGAACTGCTGGAACATGTTCCAACTCCACCTGTACTTTATCCGCATCTGATCCCAACATAGACTGTTCATCAAACACTGCATCTCTACTAATCACCGTCTTCTTCTCAATTGGATCCCAAAACTTGTATCCCTTCACACCTTTCTTATAGCCCAGAAAAGTGCACTTCTTTGATTTAGCATCAAGTTTTGACCTCTCATCAGCAGGAATATGAACATAAACAGGACAGCCAAAAATCTTCAAATGATCAAAACTAACATCATTACCTGTCCATACTTCTTCTGCAACTTTGCCATCTAGAGATGCACGTGGTGATCTGTTAATTAAATAACAAGCCATACTTACAGCCTCAGCCCAGAAACTCTTTGACAAACCCGCATTCAGTCTTAAACACCTCGCCCTCTCAGCCAGTGTCCGATTCATCCTCTCAGAAACACCATTCTGCTGTGGTGTTTTACGCACTGTAAAATGCCTTTGAATCCCATGCTCCTCACAAAACTTCTGGAATTGTGAATCGGTGTACTCTGTACCATTATCAGACCTTAAGTACTTGATTTTCCTACCAGTCTGGTTCTCCACCTCAGCCTTCCATAGCTTGAATTTAGCAAAAACTTCAGATTTATGCTTCATGAAATACACCCAAACTTTCTTCGAAAAATCATCAATAAAGGTCACATAGTACAAAGAACCACCAATCGATGTCACTCTAGTAGGACCCCACACATCTGAATGTACATAATCCAGAATTCCTTTTGTCTTCTTCTTCCCAGTCTTGAAACTGACTTTTGTCTGCTTTCCCAGAACACAAAACTTGCAGAAATTGAGTTTGCAAGTTTTAACACCATGCAGAAGCCCCCTCTTATGTAGCTCAGTCATGCCATGTTCACTAAGATGTCCAAGACGCATGTGCCACAATTTCGTGCTATCTTCACACGACTCCACCGAATGGACTCCACCTACAACTGTACTTCCCAACAGTTTGTAAATGTTCCCTGCAGTGATCCTCCCCTTCATCACAGTCAAGGCACCCTTCACAATCTTAATGGTTTCCCTATCCTCATCAGCCTTGGGAATGAAACCATTTCTATGCAAAGTACCCAAAGAAATCAAATTCTTCTTCAACTCAGGGATATGTCTCACATCACACAATGTCCTAACAGTTCCATCATACATCTTGATTTTGACATCCCCAATACCGACAATACCGCAGCATCTATCATCACCAAGAAAAACAGAACCCGAGTTGCCTGATTTATAAGTAGCAAACCACTCTCTGTTAGGCGTTATATGATATGAACATCCAGAATCGAGAATCCAAGCATCATCATACTGCGCAGTCGAAATAGATAACATATCTCCATCACTGCAATCAGATTCCTCATTCTGTACCACATTTGCAGACTTGGATGACATATCAGCAGTCTGTTTCTTCCACTTTGGGCAATCCTGTTTAAAGTGCCCTTGTTTCTTGCATTTATAACACGTCACAGTTTTCCTCCCTTTCGATTTGTCTCGCGACTTGGATCTGAAATTCCGATTTCCTGAATTATCCCGCACCTGTTTCCTTCCACGATCCTGGTTACCCTTCACATATAAACTGTCACTTTGAGAAGATGACTCTCCAGATTTCTGTTTCCGCTGGTTGTGAGCCAACAACGCTGAAGTAATCTCCTCAGTCTTGATCGTTTCTTTCCCATATGTAAGGGTAGTCACCATATGTTCGTAAGAAGGAGGTAACGAACACAGTAAAATCATCGCCTTGTCTTCATCTTCAATCTTGACTTCGAGTGAAGCCAAATCCGTGACAACCTGATTGAAGATATTCACATGTTGCCCGAAATCGGTCCCCTCCTGCATCTTCAGCCCGTATAACCTCTGCTTTAGATACAGTTTTGTCGTTAGGGTTTTCGACATGAACTGCGATTCCAATTTCTTCCAGATCTCATCCGCCGATTTGAGATGCATAACGTGATACATAACTTCATCTGCAAGGCACAACCGAATCGTCCCGGCCGCCCGTTCCTGCAGATCTTGCCAATCATCGTCTTCCATCCCCTTTGGCTTTTCTGCACGCAGCCCTTTTTGAATTCCTTGTTGCGCCAATAAATCTTTTACTCTCGTCTGCCATAATCCGAAATTGCCATGACCATCAAATTTCGAGACCTCGAATTTCGATCCTCCCGTCATCTCTGTCGCCCAATCAACCAGTCTCTGGTACCACTTGTTGAGTGAAGATGACAATATGACACACGAATTAAAAACAAGAAAAGTAAAAAACACAAGATTTACGTGGTTCGGCAATGTGCCTACGTCCACGGCGGCTGAGGGATCTTTTATTATTCTCAATCGTATCAAATACATCAATACACCATGTATTTATACTAAAACCCTACAAGGTATAAATTTACTTAAATTTGCTCGCTCCACTCCGCTCACTTCGCTCGGTCGCTCCGCTTCCCTCGCTACGTTCGCTCCGTTACGCTCGCAGGCATCAGCCTGCCCTCTTCCTTTGTCAATATATGAGTCATACCAACACTAAATAAATTAAATATCTAGCAACTTTTAGAAGACATTAAAACTTCAAATGGAATACCTCGTGACTTTTTAAAACTTTCTTACACAATTGAATACCTCGTGATTTTTCAAAACTTGTTGGAATTTCAAGTTAATACAATCATGATTATGCAAATACCAAAAAAAATTAGAATTCAAGATTCTTAAAACTACCAAAGTCTGAAAATAGTGAATAAACACATCTCCTAAACTCCTACTTGGTCCACGTCCCAATTTATTTTACTGGCTTAGTGTAGACATGGTCACGGGTCGGGCCGTGGCCAGGCCCGCGAACCACCCCGGCCCGGCATCGGAACTGACCAGGCCCGGCCCATATAGGTGTGGTTATGAACCGACCCAGAATTTCTTAAGGGTCAGTCTTTTATTCATTTCGTTTTTTTTTTTTTTTTTTTTTTTTAAACTGAACTGCCGGGTTGAACCGGCCCATACGAATTGCCGGGCGATTACGGGCCGAACAATTGAGGCCCGCCGTCCCGGCGGGCTGGGCCTAGCCGGGCCGGCACCTGGCCACCTCTAGCTTAGTGCGTATGAAAAGGAGAAAAGTGACCGACTATTTGACAAATAGGGAATATTACTTAAATAAGTAATCAAAATGTCAGAAGCAACAAATTCCTATCAAATATCAATATGATTGAACACTACATAAGTCAAAAGTGTGTCTGGAAAATACACACCAAACATATGCATACATAAGTTCACTCAAATTTAACTTTAACCACAACATCCTCAATACTATCGGTATAATCAAATAATAGTAAGACCTACTCCAACCTGTACCCAAAACGCAAAAATTGAGGTAAAAACTCTCCAACCGAACAGCAAACTCATACGCAAAATGAGTTTTTTGCTTTCTCTCTCATCCTTCAAACGCAAATATGCGTTTGGATCCAAGAAAATGCGTCTGAACTTTTTAAATTGCACTCAACTCCAATTTTGTATCTTTTATTACATATTGATCAAGATTGTGAAAAAAATTCATACCTATATTTGTACATATTTTTTATCTAACTTCTTTACACATAGTAAAACACTAATAAATAAATATATTATTCCCCTACATATTTTTTGTCCATTTTTTGTATACATCATAAAACAGTATATTTTTTTTTCCCCAATTTAATGTGTAGTTTGTGTTATGAATATAAAAGTTAATTTATGTTAGTTACTGATATAATTTGATGTTGATTTTTCTACAGATAATAATGCAAACATAAGATTAAAAATCTATAATATATACATTTAGAAAATTACAGTATATGTCATATGGAGTGTGTAGAGATAGTTAAATTCAATATGACCATCTTATTTTAAAATGTGTTCTAATATTTTTATGTGTATGAATTATTAATTTATAGATATTTTTTAAAGTTTAAAATAAGAAAACAAAATTTGCTTATTTTAAAATGTGTTCTAATATTTCCTGTGTACGAATTATTAATTTATAATTTTTTATAAAAGTATAATGTAAACAAAAAATATAATTAATTTTAATTACATAAAGTCTAAATTGAATTTAAAATAATAGTGTGGTTTAATTTGTAAAGTTGTAAAATATGTGGGTAGTATTGAAAAATTATAAAAGTTGGTGTAAAATAGAATATTCTGGGAATATTCTTTTGGGTTTGAGAATGAGTTTTTCGGTTGGAGATGAATTACTGCAAAATGGGATAGTTACTGCAAAATGGGTTTGAGTTTGAGTTTTTCGGTTGGAGATGGCCTAATCAATTATTCTTACCTATCGCATCAACTTTAATTCACTATTCATCAATACAAATAAATTTAATTATCCATCACTTCCATTCACTTCTCATAGTGTGAAATTCATTTTCCTTGGATCACATTGGAACCAATTCAAATTAAGATACCCATACAAAGCACATTCTAAACATAAGAAACTGTAGTAGTGACAGATAAATTCACAACAAACTGGCCTTACCTTACCTTTTCAGGATGCAACCACACACACACACACACACACATACAGAGAGAGAGAGAGAGAGAGAGAGAGAGAGAGAGAGAGTATTAAAAGATTTAATTTCCTCATTAAACCAAAAAAAAAAAAGTTCAAAAGTTCCAACGAAACCACCTCACACGGTCCTCAAATAACAAGCAAACGACGACTAAAAACCCATCCAGATGGAAAATATATATAAACCTCACACACATGTTAGAATAATTCATCAGGAAGCCACCTGAGCTTGCCCAGCTGGCGCTGGGCCATGGTGATTATAGCTGCCGCCGCCACTCGTACCTCTCCCACTTCGTCCCCTATACCCATAATTGCTCCTCTGGTAATAACCGCCACCTGGCTGATCGTAAAACTGGCCACGCCCGTTCGGAAAGCCACCCCTACCGCCGCCTCTCCCTCCACGGCCGTTGCTGTATCCTCGCCGGCCGCCGCCGCCACCACGGCTACCACTTCGGTAGCCGTGATACGACTTCCGAGTCGCGTTTTGGTCCTTCAAGTCAACATCCCTCGAGTTTCGGTCGTGTTCAGAATCGGGCGAACCCTGTTCTGTTTGAGCTGGAATGTCCTGTGTTGTTTGTAAAACAGCAAGGGGTTATTTGTAATTTTCGAATGATAACAGTAGGTTCCGAGTAATCAAGACTAAACCTGAGTGGAATTAACCAAAACTTCATGTTACCTGGTTATATTCTTGAACATGACCAGTTTCATAAACGTAAGTATCATCAGCCTCGTGGGAATTGGGTTGTTCCTCTTCCTGCAAAAATTTGGATCTTTTCTTATAACCATGATATTCAAAGAAGGATATTGAATGCAATGGAAATGGAATTCGGACTCAAATATAATATATGTAAACCTCAAAGTGAGATTCTGGTAAAGGTAAGAACTTCACCATTAGAACTACCAGCTGGATTTTCATTCTCATGACCAATAAAAGGAACAATTGGCTCTTTGTTAACATCCAATCACAAGAGAAGCACACACACCAAATAAATAGTCTTAACAAGATTAAATTCAAAAAATGGAGGGTAGTTAGAAAGCATTACAAGGCTCCTACAGAGAGTAACAAATAAAAATGTGCTCTTTGACAAGTGGTGCAAAATCAACAAAGATCAAATCGGATAGAAAATTCATTCTATCGACATGTAGAACGTAATTCACCACCACAGTAGCGAATGCAGTAACAGCTGACGAATTTTGCCAATACCATTTTCCCTTCCTAAAGGAAACCAAAAGGTAATGTAAAAAACAGAGGGCTTTAAATAAATTCTACCTCTTGCTGATATTCAACTGTGGAGCCCTCCACTGGGATGGTCGAGTCAACTGGAGGAACGGTAGAAGTACCTTGCACAGGCACCTGAAAAGATGCGTAATTGCCACCAGCAGCTGCTACTTCACCTGCATCTTTTATCTCGGGAGTAGTTGTGAAGTACTCTGAAGCCATAATCTTATTCAACTTTTCCCTCAAACCAGCATCTGAAATGGAATGGGATCCCATTATGAAGTAAGAAAATGAGGAAAAGTCATCAAGAAGCCACATTATGTGAAGATAAACCTAATAAACCACAACCAAGCTTAGATAATAAAGAATTGATCACATGAATCCTTTGAACGAATTTGGCATAAATGTCCAATAAAAAAATGAATCCGAGTTTTGCAAAACTGAGCTCAAAACTGTAACAAACAATCAGAAGTGTCATGCCTCGTGCACATTAGACAGGTAATCTGCATACTGTATTTGATATACACACGAATTTTGGCGCATAAGCAATTCTAAATAGGAATGTGAGATAGTAAATACTCATTACTCAATACCACAAACTAACATTTGAGTCATCTACTTATCAAGCCATGTAAATGCAAGAAATCACTCGATTCAAAACGAAGGTCTGCCCTAGAACCACACTACATCCACCAATGCAAGCAATGCAAAGAAAACATGCGCTAAAAGAGCAATGGAGAAACTTTTTTCATACAAGTGATGTTCGTGTTGGGATCGATCGGCTGCTCTGCATTTGCAAGCCATAGCTTGGCATGCTCCAAGCACTTCTGCAAAGCGTTCTTATGGGACAGGCTCGAATTTACTGGCCGGGAAACCAACAAGCTACCGAGCGAGGCAATGGAGTCCAAATCCGGCTCTTTCAGAAGATCCCCGGCAGCATCATCGTCCGTTACGCAATCATACGTCAGGCAGCAATTTCTCTCGTGCGTCCTGGTGAGCATGTTGTCCCGCCCACAAAACAGGGTCTTAACATCAAAGACGGTACCAAAGTACAGCAGATTCAGCAGATCGGAAACCGCCGAGTCGTCAGCGGCGGCGATTGCGATTCCCGATTTGGGCTCCATCTCCACGGCGGAGGCGGCCTCGCTTGGAATTTCGTCGGCGACGGCGTCCGGCTTCTGCTTGATTTTCCCCAGAGCGAGTTCGACTTCCTGTTCGACGGCCAGGAGGAGAGGCTGCCGGAGCTTCTCGAGCTCGTCTATGCCGGCCAGGACGGACGATTTGGAGCGTAGGGTTTCCTCCTGCTCCTTGTTGAGGGTTTTTCCCTGGGAAAGGGACTCCTCCATCTGGGCGATGCGGTTGAGCTTCTTGCGCAGGGCGCGGAGGCGCTTGTTGATGAGATTGAGGGCGGGCCCGTCGGTGGCGGCGGTCTCTGAGGAAGACGGTGCTAGTGATTCCGACACCGACATATTTCGATTGCTGATGCGGCTAGAAAGGCGAGTAAGGAATCAGGAGACTGGGTTTCAGGCCGCCGTAGACGGCGGAGGAAGGTGTAGGGAAGGGTTTTTGGGTGGAGCGGCGGGGTTAGGAGTGTATCGAGGATTGGTGGGTGGATTATTTAGCACAGTAGCTTTTTATTTTATGAGTCGATAATAATATATTTATACACATTTTTCGTATGAAATCAGGGGCAGGGCTGCAAACGAGCCGATCAGAATCGGACATTGACCTTATCGAGCAGAATTGAATTTTTTTTAGTTGTTCGAGCTCAAGCTCGACTGAATAAAAAATACAATAGTTTGAGCTCGACTCGAAATCAAATGCTCGAGCTTGGCTCGAATTCGACTCCAAATTTTTAAGTGAAATTATCATTAAGCATTTGTGTTATACTATTTAAATATATATATATGGGGTCTTTTCGTAATTTATCATATATATCGAGCAGCCCGACGAGCCGCTCGATAATACAAATATGGGCTCGAGTTCGTGCTCAAGCCGCTCGAGCTCGACTCGAGTTTGACCAAACTCGAGCTCGTGCACTCGCGAGCGGCTCGTGAGCCCTTCGACTCGTTTGCAGTCCTAGTATGAACACACCAAAAAATATATATTTTCTTTTGAGGAGTTTTATCAATAGAAGGCCCGAAAGATGGGTAAACTATCAATGCGGGGCCTGAAAGATTTTTTTTCTCAATTTGGGACTTAAATGATATAAAACTATCAAATTAAAGACCCGAAAGATGGGTAAACTATCAATGCTTGGGCCGGAAAGATTTTCTTTCTCAATTCGGTACTTAAATGTTATAAAATTATCAAATTAAGTCTAGAATTGACAAAACCCATAACACCATTAAATTGAGAGTTAAAAAAAAAAACAAAAGATTGGTGTTTAAATTTTTTAAAAAAATATTTAATTATTACTTTTTATTTCATATTCATCTACATTTTTAAACTATCAATGCATATGAATGAAATTTCAATAAGCATAATAGTCAATTTAAATATAAAAATCATAATAATTATTTTACTTAATATAATTACTTGCTTTATTCTTTTTAACAACAAACACATATATTTATGAGGATAATAATATTATAAACATTCAAGAGTACGACTGGTTATAAATTATGTAAAAATGTTTGAATGAAAAAGTGAGTTAAAGAGTAGAAAAAAATGATGGAAGAATGCAAAATTTTAAAAAATGTGAATGAATATGAAAATAAAATGTAATAATTAAATATTATTTTTTTTAAACTCTAGATTTAATGGTGTTATGAGTTTTTTTTTAATTATAGACTTAATTTGATAGTTTTATACCCTTTAAGTCCCGAATTGAGAAAAATAATGTTTCAGGCCCCGTATTGATAGTTTACCCATCTTTCGGGTCTTTAATTTGATAGTTTTATAACATTTAAGTCCCGAATTGAGAAAAAAATCTTTCAGGCCCCGCATTGATAGTTTATCCATCTTTCGAGTCTTGTATTGATAAAACTCCTTCTTTTTATTATTACAAAATTTTATAAGAACTAGTATTTATCATGTGCACATGCACAAAGAAAACAAAAAATTTATATATATTATATGTATATATGCAATAAATAAAATTTTATATTAGATAATGGATGTATTAAATTTTAAATTTTGACTATATGCAAATGTGTAATGTAAATATAAATTACTTAACTTACGTATGAATCTTTATATTGATCCATCAGTTTTAATGGACAATATAATTTAGTAATTTAGAGGGACCAGACAATTAATTAGTTAGAAAAGTATTACAATTATTTATATTATTGTTATAGCAATTGTTTATGTGATTTGAGACATATAAAATATGTCTTATGCATTTCGATCGCAATTGTTAATCTTATTTACTCTTATATAATCACATCAGACGATAATATATTTATATTAAATAATAAATAATATGGAACTTACATAAATAAGGCAATATGTTTATATTAATTAATAATTTTAAGCTTATATGCACTTCAATCATTTCTAAAACGAAGACCAAACCAATTATATGAGGTAGATACTAATAAAGTAATATAGATAGTAACTAACCAAAATCATGAATCTATGAAATCATAGTATCATACCAAATTTATCACCGTTAAATGGTCCGTGAATATCGAAGATATAGGCTTATATGACTTACCAATATATGGATTATTAATTAATATTATTAGTTAAATTGGTGTGATTTAAAAATAAGTATATTGCCATTTTTATATAAGTTAAAAATATAATGCGTGAATCTGCCAATATATCACCAAATAAAAATTAATCATGAATATGAAGATATATGCTTTGTTGATCCTATAAATATATCATGCATGAATATGCCTAATAAATTCAATATATTATGTGTGAATATACATGACTCACCAAATGAATATAAAATATCTTAACAAAAAGTATTTCCAAATTTATCAGAAAAATGTAGGCTTGAAAAAGTTTGTCAATTTTGGCAAAATAGATTAGTCCATTATATAGATATAAATATAGATTTTATAGCACATTGTATGAACTAATATTGGACAACAAACGCACCTCGAAATTATGAAGAATGCACACAATAAAGTGAAACACATTTTTTCTATGGGTTGTAACCTTTTCGTACATCTTAATTAGACGATGTTTCAACGTCTGTTGTAGCAATTAGTCTGTCAATTTTTTGATCGCCACAAAGAGGGGAACTGATACTAGCCCTAAGATACACCATTTTATCAAAAGAGCATAAATGATTACATTTTCTTTTAACACGTTGCAATACAAAATAAAGCCGCAAACGAGCTAGTTCTAATTGAACATAGGCTTTATTGCTCAATTTTTTTACTATAAGCTCGAAGAACAGAACACTTATAGGCTCGACAAGAAAAAAAAAATCGCCAATGCTCGTTTGTGCCGCTCGTTAATCGCTCAACCTTACAAATTACATGACGAACAAAACATTCGGTTGAAGTATTTTAGGTTATATTTTGTATATCCGAACAACTCGTTAAACACTCAATTTTACAGACTGAAGCTCCACCCGTGCACTCAAAACAAATGCAAAGTGCTCAAGCTCGAGATATTTTAACATAGATGTGTCACCCTACCTGATATGGATATAGTACCAAACACACCACACTTGTCACCTACTGTAATAATACCTAACCGTAAGAATTTTTGGTATTCAAATCCATATTTTCACAAGTGTGTAGTGAATAACGAATGTTGTTGGTGAATCAATTATTTTAAGTAGTTGTTGTAAACCAATAGGGCTTTTTTCACAAGTCTTATTTAAGGCTTCATTCTCGTTTGTTCTAGTAATTGAAGATTGAATAAAATTTATGTATTTACGAGAAAAACCTCTTATTTTCTCGTTTATACGCTGCACTACATCAGAAGTCCAAAGTACTCATATAGTAACAAAGAAAATACAATCAGTAATAAGTAATAGAAGTTCTTAATTATATACTGCCTCCATTTTTTCAAAATGAAAAAAAGAAATGGGTGATTGGAACATTGTAGAAATCTTTAGGAGAAGATATCATGGACAAAAATATTTTGCTTGTAATTTTTAATTTCCAGAATTTTTTACATATGAAAAGAAAAAATAAATTGCTTTGTGCCAACAAGTAGGATAATTAATGGCACACTTTTTTTTTTTTTTTAATAATTATAAATCAATACAACATCTTTTCGGTAGTGATGCTATTTAAGTCATACTAGTATTTGATCATGTATGTAATACATAGATATATAAAACATGTTTTTGTTTGTATTTATTAATTAGACTTTCTATCATATAAAAATTATTACTATTTTCTTAAGTTATTTGTATCATTCAAAATTAATTGAGGCATATTTTAACCATGCAACGTTTACATTACTAACATGAATAAAATAATTTATATATTTGTGGCATATATGAAGAAAATCAACATAAATAAAAAAAATTATTGGTGTTTCTAATTTTTATAAAAAAAAATATGTGTCAATCATATTTTTCTTCCAACAATGCAACCAAATATAGCGGTTACAACGCTGAATGTGCCAATCAGCTTTAAATTCCAACATTAGCCGTTACACATTTGAATATTTTGCTACCAAATTTAGAATTAATTTAGTAACTGATCCAAAAAATAAATAATATATATATATATATATATATATATATATATATTAAGGTGTAATGGTTTTAGGATATTAATGAGTAATTAACTAAAAAAATGTAACTCAAAAATGAAAACAGGTTTTATGAAATGTTTTATTAAATGCATCAGCTAGTAATTATTTATATATAGATAGTCAGCCATGGCCGTGGGCCCGTGGCAGCATTGGTCCGATTTTCGTATCATTTTGTTCATTTTTTTTTTTTTTT